CTTTGGATTATTGTGTATTCTGTTTCTTTCACATCATCCTATGAACTTATTAATAGAACTGATTTCTACAAGTCAATGATTTGTGTCTGCAGGTAACATGGATTGAAGATGGGGCTGCAGCACTAACTCTCCAATCTGTGCTCCTCATGAACATGGCTTCCTGCTAGGAATGTGGAGTCAGAGAATCACTCTCGTATTTTTTGTTTTTTTGAGAAACCGTTGCTGAATTACGCGGTTGCAACAAATACTTGGCCTCACTGAAGTGTAGTGGATTACTTTTGCTTATTTCTTTCCTTCTTTTGTGCACAAACCGATCCCCTCCGAGCCCCTCATCTTTTATTGTCTTTGTTGCTTCTAGGTATTGGTGTTTCATGTGTACCATGTATCCTTTATCTGTAAAGGAAAAATTGGAGGAAGAGTAGTCCATTCAGCCTGTCCACCCTGCTCAGTCTTTTTAGATCATGATGTTCATCTATATCAATGCCATATTCCCACACTATCCCATTATTCCTTACTGTAAATAGTCAACTAGAGATGTCAGTCTCTGTCCACAAATTTATTTAATGACTGAACTTCAACAGCTTGAACAGAGATGGAGAATTCCAAAGATTCACTGCCCTCTGAATGAAGATGTTCCTCCTCATTTCAGTCCTAACAGCATGCCTTTTCAATATTTTCTGTTCAACCTGTTGAAAAATGTTATTACATACCTCTGGAGAAGGTGGGACTTGAACCCGGTCCTCCTGGTCCAGAGGTAAGGACATTACCAATGCTGTACAAAAGCCCTCTATGGTTGGCCTTTTATTCTGACACTGTGTCCCCGGTACGAGACCATACAGCCATAGGAAATATCCTTTCTGCATGTAATCTGTCCATCTTTTAAGAGTTTTGTAACTCTCTACAGAATTATCCCTCATTATTCTGAATTCCAGAGATTATAGGCCAGTTTCCTTCATCTGTCCTCATAGATAGTGCCTCCATATCTAGCATCAGCCTAATGAATCTTCTGCGGACGCCTCCAATGACAATATTTCTTTCCTTGGACATGGGCCCCAAAACAGTTCACAGTATTCCAACTGTGGTCTAACTAGTGCCTTGTTTTGGCATAACTTCCCTATTTTTATGCTCCATTTCCTCTGAAATAAAGGCCAACATTCCATTTGACTTCCCTGTTAGCTGCTGAACTTGGATGCCTTTTTTGTGATTCCTGCATGGAGACTTTCAAATCCCTATGTTCAGTAATTTTTGGCAGTTTTTCTCCATTAAAATAACATTCTATCCAAAGTGCTGAAAGTGTGGTCATCCGTGTCAAAGGCTGCAGAAAGATTGTGGAGGAACGGATAGTTTACATTAATTAGATCCATTTTAGTGCTGTGGTGGATTGAAGCTTGATCTGAGAAATTCAAATGTGGAGACCTCTAGTGTTTGTATATAGAGACTGCCATCCTCGTACAGCTCAAATTGTTTTAAATTACTTCATTTTTATAGTGAAAGGCTGGCGAGGCATTGCTACAGGAAATGATTACATACTTATGACAACAGCACAAAGTGATAAATATCACTAGTGTCTCTACAACACAATATAATTATATTACAGGTGGACTTGCAGGTGGGAGATTCAAAATGAATGGAACATCAAATCTGAACGATTTATTCAATTCATGAAGACCTGGCTTTGTGTTCCTTGATTGTCATGGGAATTTTGGCTGCAAGACAATTTTGGCTGCAAGACAATTTCCCTTATATGTTGCTCACACCATTATTAGCCTGGGAGTCCTCTCAGCCTGGCATGGAGATCTTCTAGCGGTCCAGTGTGGCAGTCTCTCAGCTCGGTGTAGAGGTCTTCCAGCGGTACGTGGTGTTCTCTAAGTCTGGCATGGCCTCAGCGTGGACTACCAGTCTCAAGGTGATAACAGAGCAATCTCCTAACCTCGTGAATCCTGAGGTGAAACCCAGCGTGGTCTGAAGTTAAGGCCTGGTTTGGACTGGAGGCTAGGTGCCAGTGTGGACTGGGTTGAAAGACCATTCCTAAAATCTGCAATGCTGAACTTTTTAGTTCCCTATTTTCCTAAGAACTGTAAATGAAGAAGCTGTATGTAGGAATCTTTGTACCTAAGATGGCACCGTAAGAGGTGACTTGTACCCTTTTCACCGTACTTATTTGAGTACGTGACAATAAAACTGATTAAATTCAATTCCATTCAATTCAGATATGAAATTGAACAGGCAGGAAAAGATCAGCTAGTCATAGAGTCATACAGCATGGAAACAGACTTGTCCACACTGACCAGATATCCTAAACTGATCTAGTCCATTTGCCAGCATTTGGCCCATCTCCCTCTAAACCTGTCCTATTCATATACCCATCCAGATGTCTTTTAAAATGTTGTAATTGTACCTGCCTCCACCACCTCCTCTGGCAGCTTATTCTATACACATAAATCATTCCCCTTTCACCTTAAACCTATGCCCTCTAGTTTTGGACTCCCTTATCCTGGGAAAAAGGCCTCGGCTGTTCACCCTATCCATGCCCCTCATGACTTTATAAATCTGTGTAAGGTTACCCCTCAGCCTTCAACGCTCCAGGGAAAAAGCTCCAGCCTATTCAGCCTTTACCTATAGGTCAAATCCAATAATGCTGGCAACATCATTGTAAATCTTTTAAGTTTAACAACAGTTTTTTTTATAGCAGGAAGCCATCAAGCTTCGTCATGATTATAGATTTTCAACTAACCCTACTCCCCTATCTGAACCAAAGCCATTTAAAGGTTCTACAGATGACCACAGATGTTGACTTTATTTTTAGATGCTACAAATTGGACTGCTTTGAAAATTAAATAGTGAAATACAGGTGCGACAAAAACTTGGAATACATTTGACTGTTTTTAATGTGTCAATGTCTAGTTTGAGTCTTAGCAGGTAATACTTTTGATTTGAAGTGTTAGGGTCCAAGAAGAAAGCTGTTTTGAATTTGATCAATGTAGTCAAGCTGTGTTTCATATGAATTGATGGATGGGAAAAACCAAAGGCCCATCTCATTCACCTTCCATTATCTTGTTTTACACCTGATATAATGGCATTTGAATTGTTGACTGGCGATAATGATCAATCACTAAAAATTAATTGATTTTACAGTTGTCACATGTACCGAGATACAGTGAAAAGTGTTTTGCATGCTATAAAGGCAGATTGTACCATACAAACTGCATCATGGTAGCAGAACAGAGTACACAATACAATGTTACAGCTGCAGAGAACGTGCAGAGCGAGAGAGAGAGATCAGAATTTGAGAGGTCCGTTCAAAAGTCTGATAAAGGTGGGGAAGAAGCTGTTCTTGAATCTATTTGTATGTATATTCAAACTTTTATATCTTCTGCCTGACAGAAGAGCGTGGAACAGAGTATAACAGGGCTGGGAGAGGTCTTTGATTATCTTGGTTGCTTTCTTGAGGAAGTGGGAAGTATAGATGGAGTCAATGGATAGAAGGCTGGTTTGCATGATGGACTGGGCTGTGTTCATGACTCTCTGTAGTTTCTTGCAGTCTTGGGAAGAGAAGTTGCCATAGATAATCGACAATTAGTCTAATTTCTATTTCGAACACAGAATTTGGGTATTACTGGTAAGGCTAGAATTTATTCACCATCCCTAACTACTCTTGAGAAGCTGTATTCTGGACAGTTTCAGAAGATGGCTCAGAGTTAACTTGATTGCTGTGGGTCTGGTGTCACATTTTGGTTAGACCTAGGAAGGGTTTCCCTTTGCTAAAGGAAGAGATTTCACCCTTGCTTGTTCTAAGACCCCTCACCAGTGTTATAAAAATTCCAAAGCCCTGTGACATGACACTATTTACTATGGAATGTTCAGTTACACAACTGCACACATTTATTATTTCTGTTTTACTTTCAAATGTGAAACGTGTTGTTGTTGCTATGCAGTAGTTCTGTTAAGATTTGGAGCAATGTTCAACAAGCACCAATGAATATTGTGTTCATTGGGCTCAGTTATGCTTAAGTTAGATTGTTGCAAATCATGGTGGTTTGTCACTCTGAGGTTATTAGATGATCCATGTGTGATTGGTAGTCTGTCACTTAGGCTATGACAGGACTGATGCCGTGCCTGCTGTCAATTGTTCATTCTGAACTCAGCTGCTGAGACTGAATACAACTGCTTCTCAAAATAGTACATAACCAATGACCATAACCCACATGTTCTGGTTTCTCACATTCTGTGTGGAGGGACTAAAGTGTTAAGGTTGGAAGATAAAACTCTGTACCCTGGCTACTTTGACTTTTGACCATCAATAATGAAATAATTTGAAAGACTCTGGGTCTTGGAAAAAGAGTCAGTTACTGGAGGACACCTGGGAGCTGCTGACCCCTGGTTGAGGATCCCTGCCCTAGTGCTATTGCTAAACCAGAAGGGTTATCTTAATGACAAACTAGCAGTTTTGTGATCCCCATTAATTATGCTAACTTCTTATTCCACATTTGGCTAATTACATTAGAATTTCTCAGTTACCAAGATTGATTAATCTGGGTCAATATGACAGGCGTCTGGATTACTAATCCAGTAACAGTGCCACTTTGGCACTATACCCCTAATTGTGACAAGAAAATCTCTGAATAGGAAGTGCAGAGCCATAGGTCTAAAGTATTCCACAAAAGTATGCCACATTCACTGCATGTTCTATTTCAAATCAGTCACATGCTGCATTTTACAATCTACCACCTCTTACGGTTGTTCCAAAGTCTAAACACTTGCTCCTTGTTTCCACTGGTTAGTTTTGAACTTAGCCCTTCAAATGGAGGTCAAGCCCTTTGCTTCTATAGTCCTGAACAAGGTGAAATAATTTGCCATAGCTATAATTTAGAGTCCTTATACAATCCTAAGAACAGAAAGAGAGTAATTTTATGACTTAAGCAGTTACTGGCAAGCCTATTGTAATAAATATTATAAAGTTTTGTGTTTTTCTCCCTGCCCCTCACTCCTGTGTTTTCCAGGTTTCTGAGCACACCATGAGCTACGTGTTGCAGGTGACCAATGTGGCCAAAAGGGATTCTCAATGTTTTATCCAGTTTGACTGATAACCTGAGATATCATGGATAGCCCACCCAAACTGACAGGGGAAACATTGATTGTACATCACATTCCCCTTGTTCATTGCCAGGTCCCAGACAGAAAGAGGTGCAGCATGGGCAAAAGACCAAACCCATTTTACCATACCGATCTGGGAATCACAAGAACTACATCACTGCCAGAAAGGGACCTGCTTCAAAAGGAAACATTACTATACAGCAGCTTAATTCAGGCTTCTTGTTTACCTCCTGGGGTACCACATGAAACTGAAGGTAGACTACCAGACTCAAAAGAAACCAACACAAGCGATCAGCACAATTCATTAATTTTCAATGAGAATAATGATCAGGAAATCTCCTATAACAGTTCCTTTCATCCACAGAATAGCAACATTAACAATTCACCATTTGTTCTTCATGAACAGCCATTTCACCTACATGGTGCTGAAAAAAGCACAAAACAGTGGAGCTCCAATATTAGACAAGGGATTATTGAAGGTCAAGAGGAACAAACCCATAAATGTGATTGCAAGAAGTCAAATCGAATCATCACATCAAAACAAGCATCAGCTGATCTAATAGAACTACCGATGTGCAACTGTGCTCATGATAGCACATCCACCTTATTCTTTGATTGCAACCAAGGGTTGGAAAACACCCAAGATGGATTGTTCGGGAAACAAGATTTACTAGACAGCAGAAAGTGCAGTTGCTCTAGCTCAGATATCCAGCAAAGCAGAAGTTGTGTTTTTTCAGATCAGTCTGAGGTAGATAATCAGCATATGACTTACAACAGTGACTCCTCATGTAACAGTTCAGATGGTGTGCTGGTCAATTTTACTGCAATTTACAATAAAATGAAAACCCAGTCAAAGTCCAACCTAAGTTCAGGTAACATGTCGCATGATTCTTCATATTGCAGTCACTCAGAGATGGGTGCATTCTACCTGGACCTACAATCATCACCTAGTGAGCCAAAGAATTCATGTGATATTCACAGTGGTGATAGTGCCATGCAAACCTGTCTGTGCCATCAGCAGTGTTCACCAGCTGTTGATGACAACTGTAATTCTTACCACCTACCATGTGAAAACATGCCCTGTTCTTCCGAAAATTCAGATTATACTGCATGTTTTCAAAGTCAAGCAAGATTAGTTGTTGCCACACAAAATTATTACAAATTAGTAACTTGTGACCTATCTTCTCAGTCAACACCAAGCCCTGCAGGGTCTTCAATAACAAGCTGCTCAGAAGATCACGCAAAGAGTACAAGTCCAAGTCAACCTACAGAGTATTATCTCTTCCGGCAACCAGAAGATAAGATTGACATTGATCAATGTTTTCAAGAGGAACCAGCACTGGAGGCCACTGAAGATCTCATTGAAGGTCAAGTATATGTGAATGTTGCTTCAAATACTTCTGGCAGGCAAAGATCAAGGAGCTATGATCGTAATTTAGATAAGGGCCCATCCCCTAGGTTGGGCTCATTGGAACGCATGTATAGCTGTCCAGGCAAGCTAAGTGACAGTCATACAGGAACATCGCAGAGATCACCACCACGACGTGTAACCTCATTTGCTGAAATTGCTCGAACTAGAAAACGAAGTGGGAATTCGCCGCCACTCAAAACCAGTGGAGATTCTTCAATAGAGTTCTCCCCAATATTGGAAAATCAGAAAGAAAATAATGTTTTTGTTTCCTTAGATGAAGAGTGCTGCCATAATCTGCCTGGCGGGTCCTCTCCAAAAATGGACTTAACAACATCCTGCGCTGCACCCTTCATTCATCGCTTTAGTAACAAAAACAGTAATGCAAGTCTGCATGATAGAGCTCACCTTGAAGGGTATGGACCTTGTTACAATGGGGAAGATGGCAGCAAACTAGAACCAGTTAATCCACTCCATCAACAAGTTGAGAAGAATGCATCTTTTGACAGCAGTACTAAAATGGAAGGTAAGACAATGCCAAACTCTTAGAATAGTCTAATGTAACCATTGCATCATATTTTTTTTAATCATAGGCACTTTGTTGTAATACCAACTTTCTGGATTTGTTTATTTTTTTATATTAATTTTTTAAACTCACAAGTTGTGGATTTTGAGTGCTCTTCCATTTGGCATCAGAGTCAGCTCCAGGTACTTGCATGTAAGGTGAAACTGAATAAAACTTCCGCTATTCCAACATGTGAATATGACTAAATTTCAGTATCAGAATGGTGTTTCCATACTTAGCCATTTTTTTGTTTACCTGCACTAACCTCTTTTGTGACCTATTTTGTAGGAAGCCTTATGCCTTTATTCAAGAACTAAATTGAGATTATCCAATCGTTATCCATGTACAGTCCATGGCAGTATTTTCTAGACATGAAATTTGATGTTGTATTACTATGAGTAGTAGTGGTTGTAAAAGTAGTGTTAATGTTCTGAGAAAGTTGATCTCATCTGTTCGTGCAAATCTTCCATCAGTAATCATGCCATGAACATGAAACTAATGGCTCTTTATGCACTTTGCTAATAAGAAACAAGCAGTCTAATGCTAATGTAACTCATAATCCAGAAAAAAATGCATTCAAACCCTGTCAGTTATGGAATTTTGAAATTCATTAAAGAGAAAAAACTGGAAATAGAGTGCCTATATTAATATGTCATTAAAAGAAAAACTGATTCACTCAGTCCTTTTAGGGAAAGAAACCTTTAAATATTATCCAATCTAACTGATGTTTGACTCCAGGCTTGCTTTATTTTTTTATTCATTCATGGCATGTGGACGTCGCTGCTGGTCCAGCATTTATTGTCCGTTTCTAGTTGCCCTTGAGACGTGGTGGTATGCTGCCATCTTGAATTACTGCAGTCCTTTTTTTAAATATACTCATGAGACATGGGCGTTGCTGGCTAGCTGGCATTTATCACCCATCCCTAGTTGCCTTGAGTAGATGGTGGTGAGCTTCCTTCCTTAGTGTATGTAGATCCATTAAATTGTTCGGGAGGGAATTCCAGGATTTTGATGCAGCAACACTGAATAGCAATGCATTTCCAAGTCAGGATGGTGAGTGGCTTGCAGTGTTGTTGGTGTTCCCATGTGTGCTGCCCTTTTCCTCCTAGTGGTTGTAGGTTTAGAAGGTGCTGACTAAGGAGCCTTGGAGAATTTATGCAGTGCATTTTATAGGTGCTACTGTGCATCAGTGGTGCAAGAAGTGAACATTTGTAAATGTGCCAATCAAATGGACTGTAATGCTGGGGACCTCTGAAAGAGGCTGAGATGGATCATCCACATGACACTCTTGGTTGAAGATTATTGTGAAAGTTTAAGTGTTACCTTTTTCATTGATGTGCTGGGCTTCCCTATTTTTGTCAGTGGGGATGTTTGTGGAGTTTCCTCCTCCAGTGAGTTGTTTAATTGTCCATCACCATTCATGACATGATGTGAAAGGAGTGCAAAACTTGGACCTAATCCATTGGTTGAGGAATCCCTTAGCTCGATCACTTCCTACATAGGTTGTTTGGCATGCATGTAGGCCAGCTTTGTAGGTTCACATATCATTTTTGCTAATGCTTGGCATGCCCTCCTGCATTCTTCATTGAACTAACGTTCATTTCCTGGCTTAATGGTCATGGTAGAGTTGATGATATACCAGCCCATGAGACTACATGTTGTGTTTGGAGTATGTATCAGTTGCTGCTGATGGCCCACAACACCTCATGGTTGTCCAGTCTTGAGTTGTTGGATCTATTTGAAGAATGGTGACTGATCGTAAGAAATAGGAACAACAGTAGGCCATTTGGCCCCGTGAGCCTGCTCTGCCATACAGTAGGATCATGGCTAATCTGATGTTCCTTAAGTACGCTTTCCTGCCTTTTCTCCATAACACTTGATTCCTTTCCTGATCAAACATCTATCTTAACCTTAAATATACACAAGGACTCTGCCCCATAGCATTCCGTGACAAAGACTTCCAAAACACTCAACCTGCTGAAAGAAGAAATTCCTCCTTATCTCAGACTTAATTTGGTGCCCTTTATTCCTGAGACTGTGCCCTTTGGTCCTAGATTCTCCCAGAGGGGAAACATCCTCTCAGTACTTACCCTGTCAAGCTCCTTAAGAATCCTACATATTTCAGTTCCAAAGAGTAGAGTCCCATACCAGGGATCATCCTAGTGAACTTTTTTGGAACTGCCTCCAATGAAACAACAACTTTCCTGAAATAAAGGGACCACAATTGCTCTCAGTTCTTCAGCTGTGGTTTCACCACTACCTTGTACAGTTGCAGTTAGATTTCTCTACTCTTACAGTCCAACACCTTGAAATAAGGGCCAACGGAAGGTATTCTCAAAGTGAAAGCAGGACTTTGTCTCCATAAGGACTGTGTGGTGGTCACTCTTACATATACTGCTATGGACAGGTGCATCTGCCACAGGCAGATTGTTGAGGATGAGATCAAGTATGATTTTCCTTCTTGTCGCTTCTCTCACCACTTGTCACAGACTCACTCTAGCAGCCATGTCCTTTAGATCGTAACCAGTAGTGGTGCTGCTGAAGTCCAGAATCCAGATCCGGAGTCCATTCTGCACCCTTGCCACCTTCAGTACTTCCTGTTCAATATAGATGAGTACTGACTCATCATCTGAAGGGAAGTAGTTCATGGCAATCACCCATTTCCTTGCCCATGCTTGACTTGGTGCCATGCGACTTCATGCAGTCAAGTATCAATGTTGACGATTCCGAGGGAAAGTTCCTCCCAATGTATCACTACTTCTGCTGGGTTTATCTTACTGGTGGATCAGATGTATACAGAGATGGTGATGATGTTTTCTGGGACATTGTATGTAAGGTATGATTCCATGAGTATGACAGTGTCAGGCTGTTGCTTGACTGATCTGTGAGACAGCTCTCCCAACGTTGGCATTAGCCCCCAGATGTTAGTATGAAAGACTGTGCAGGGTTTACAGGGTTGTTTTTGCTGTTGTCGTTTCTGGTACTGTAGTTGATGCCAGATGGTCTTATTTCTTTTATTTCTTTTTTTCTTTTCGAGCAGTTGATACAACTAAGTGTGTAAAGAAAGCGTGATAGAGGGAATTCAGCCCTGTTAAATTTCAAAGAAGTAAGGTGACGCTGGATGGCCTGTGCTTCAATACTGATACTAAGCACTAAATGCCTAGTGGGAAGAAACAGAGAGTGTTGGTAGGACGCTAATGTGCAGTGGTGTACCACAGACATCCGTACTAGGTCCCCTATATATATAACAACATGCAGGAGAATGTGGGTGGACTAATGAGAAAGTTTGTGGATGATACAAATATTGGCTGGGTGGTTAACACGGAAGAAGAAGGTCTTGGGTTACAGGAGGATATAGTCTCGTTGGTCAGTAGGAAGATCAATAGAAGATGGAATTCAACCCTGAAAAGTGAGGTGATGCACTTTTTGGAAAAAGTAACAAGACAAGGGAGTACTCAATGAATGGCAGGACATTAGGAAGGTTAAAGGAACAGAGGGATCTTGGGATGGTTAAGAAGGCATATAGGACACTTGTCTTTATCAATTATGGCATAGATTATAAAAGCAGGGAGGTTATGTTAGAGCTGTAAAGAACTTTGATTAGGCTTCAGCTGGAGTACTATATACAGTTCTGGTATCACACTTTCAAAAGGATGTGATTACACTGGAGGGAGTGCAGAGGAGATTCACCAGGATTGAGCACCTTAGCTATGAAGAGAGGCTGGATAGTCTTGTGTTGTGTTCTGTAAAGCAGAGAAGGCTGAGGAGGGACATGGACAGGGTAGATAGGAAGCTGCTGTTTCCCTTAGTTGAAGGGTCAATAACAAAGTCAGTTTAAGGTTTTGGCAAAGATTTGTAGCTCGGGTTATAGGTGAGGTTGTTGACTTGCTTGCCAAGCTGGCTTGTTTTCATTCAGATGTTTCATCACCATGCTAGGTAACATCATCAGTGAGGCCTCCGATGAAGCAATGTTGTTCTACTCCACTTGGAATTAAACTGTCCGGTCCGTTGTGGTGAGTAGTGTCATTTCCAGTTTTGTTCTGTATGGGTTTGTAAATGGGGTCCAATTCTATATGTTTGTGGATTGCATTATTTTCTTTATTCTTAACGGGATGAGGGCATCGCTGACCAGGCAGCATTTATTGCCCATCCCTAATTGCCCAGAGGGCAGTTCAGAGTCAACCACATTGCTGTGGGTCTGGAGTCACATGTAGGCCAGACCAGGTAAGGATGGAAGCTTCCTTCCCTAAAGGACATTAGTAAACCAGATGGGCTTTTCTAACAATCAACAATGGATTCATGGTCATCATTAGATTCTTAATTCCAGATATTTTATTGCATTCAAGTTTCGCCACCTGCCATGGTGGGATTTGAACCTCGGTCCCCAGAACATCACTTGGGTGTCTGGAATAACAGTCCAGTGATAATACCACTAAGCCATTGCCTCCCCCAGTGGGTTGAGAACCATATGTCTAGGAATTCCCATGCGTGTCTGTGTTTGGCTTGGGCTACTATGGTTCTGTTTTCCCAGTTAAACTGATGGCCTTCATTGTTTGAATGTATTAATATTAAGGAAAGTTTGTTGTGTCGTTTTGCTGCTAGCTGATGTTCATGTATTCTAATCGGTAGTTTCCAATCTGTCTGTCCGATGTAATGCTTGTGGCATTCATTGCATGGTATTTTGTAAACTTTGTAGGTTCTGCATGTTGTGGGAATGGGGTCTTTAATCCTTGTGAGTGTTTGTCGTAGAGTGGCTGTGGGCTTGTGTGCTACCGTGATTCCTAGTGGTCGTAGGAGTCTCGTTGTCAGTTTTGATAGGTTCTTGATGTAGGGCAGTGTGGCCAGTATGTTAGGGTGTACTGTGTCCTTTTGTTGTTGTCTATTTAGTATGCATCTGCGGATGAAGTCCAGTTGATGTCAGAGTTGAACATATGACCAACTCTGGAGTTCCAAACCTCAGT